AGATCTTCGGCCGTAAGACCCCTTGGCTCATTGGATCGACCCGACGGCTTTGAATCACCATAGGCCTGAAACTCCGACAAGGGAATGGACTGACCTTTCTTTTTCTTCGGCTTAGTGGCGGCCGCGGCGGCGAGGGATGGAAAGTCAGCGCTGGGCTCCGATTCCTGGCGCGACTGGTCCTTGAGCAGCTCCTCCTCATGCTCCTCCGCATCCAAAGCCCACGCTCCGGGCTTTCCCCACGGTGACACAGTTGCCGCCATGCCTGAGATTCTTCTTCTTCGCTGCGGTTTCTTGTTAATGGGTTGCGTTCGTTGGCAGCGAAAATAAGCGGCAACAAACGCCTCTCCTCCATTTTATATCCAAATTTTAGGCACCCCAAAGAGCTACCATCCGACGGCTGAGATTTGTCCTCCCAATCTGTTTCGGAATATTATCAAGTGACGTGTACGACTTTATCTCTATTAATCCAATCTTTTAATTCCACCAATTATTCTATCTATTTATTTGTTATTATTTCGTTTTTTAAATTTAGAGATTTGTTATTTATATTAGTACGTAAATCAAATCCATCCATTTTTTTTTTTAAATAATTTTAGTTTTCCATTCCTTTTTATTAACAGACACGTTAACCAGATGCTGTTTGTGTTCTTCCTTTAGAATATGCAACAGAAATCGTCATATAAATTTTGAACATCATCTTGATATCACAAAACTACCAAATAATAGCCATTGTTTGATCCTATATAATAAATAGGATTGTAACTTCAAGATCTTGACAATCGCAATCGCTAACATTTTCTAAAGTGCCTAAAAAGTATAGACACGTAAAAACTCAAGTGCAAATCATTAAAAAACCAATGTTTGAAGTATATTAATTGGCCTATGCAGCGTTAGAGCAATACTTGAAACCCATCTAAAATTTCAAGCATCTGAAGTTCTTGAAAGTGTGAGACAAACATATGAATGCATTTTCCGCGAGAAACGTTAGAGTATGCTCTGTATCTCTGAGAGCATAGAGAGAAGTTTTAGTTATGTGTGCCCATCAATAGATATAAGAACCATACATACATCATCATCGACCATTAAAGTTATAAATACTCAGTACGTGGCCTTATCTATATTTATAGAAATACCTAGCTGATAGTAGGGCCACTTATCTCCATACATACATGATCGGATAAATGAACCAACGTCATTGAGTTTACATCCTACATGCAACAAAACAAAACATTCTTGCTGCAATTGCCTTAGATTCTTTCTATGCACGATGTCCAACAAGTATGCATCTTTGGTGGTCACAAAAATGTCATCCCAAATGAAGAACTTTACTTCCTTTGGTAGTGATTGATGGCCTTCCAACCCATTTGTTGTTTATGTCCAAGTGTGGAGAGATTTTGTGATGAAGTTGCCACCGCTGCTCAATCTCCATGACCGCAACTCACTGAATTGGGATAGAACCAAACTTTCATCAAGAAAGAATTAAAGAATATGATACAATGGCATTAAAAAAAAAAAAAAAAAAAAAAAAAAAAAAAAAAAAAAAAAAAAAAAAAAAAAAAAAAA